ACAGAAAATGCCAGTGCAGAAGGCATATGTACACGTCGTAACTGTTAAAACACACATTTCCGCGTCTAAAACCAAACTTCTGTGCCTTGAAAAAATCATATTCTGGAGTGAAAAGAGGAGGTGTCATCAATTTTTTCAGAGGGGGTTCTTAGGACTGAGGGTTCCACTGTATGTGTATGACAAGTACCTGAGTGTGAGGCAGTCCAAGACCAGAGAGACGAGAGGCAGAGGGTGTAGAAGGTCTTGGAAGACATGGGGCAGGGGGTGGTACTACAGGCCGCCACGAGATGGATCGGATGACAGCTGCAGTCAGTTGGAATTACCGGGTCTGACTCTGAGTGAACTGTAAGGCACACAATGCGGACTTAGGCCACCCTGGGGAAGCACCACCACCCACCATTACACTCCGAGGGTACAGTCGAACAGGGTGCCATTAACCGAATAAACCCATGTGCTCCCCCCTCTTCTTTATTCCCTCTCATTTCCCTCATCTCCTCTTATCTACTCTTTCTCCGACCGATTTTCCCTCTATATTTACAGATATTCGAGCCAACTTAGCCCGGTCGTACGGCACGGAAGCGGACCGAAGACCGGGACAGTCCGGGAACTCGAAAGAGTCTAGCGATGTGAACGGTATTGTCGAACAGCACAGATCCTTGTTCGTCGGGGGCAGGAGTGTGCAATGAGCTGAGCATTCTCTCAACCCTAGGCAGTAGGAAAAAATAGCAACAGCATGCGTACGGCAGTCAAAGCTTTGCTTGAATATTATTCTAGCAGACGGTTCACATTAGCAAAAGGTTTAACTCAACCTATGATAGAAATCCACGATGACCGTAGAAAAACACATTTCTCAAAAAGAAAACAAGATCTCGACCCCGGGATCTACCTCCACAATTGACTGATGAACCCAGACGTGCTCCACCATACGTCCTCGGTATAGCTTTGTACATGTGTATGTAGTGTGCAAACTCACCGAGACTCCCGACCTGTCATCTGAGCACGGATCATGCTCACAGAGAAGTCGTACTGGCCTGATGTGCGACGGTGAGGAGAGAGAGTGCCGCGTCAGATCGGGCCGTTAAGGCCATCGCGTGACACGGGATTGCGGACAACTGGTCTCGGTAACTGTCCCTGATCCTCGTGCAGGAGGGAAGTCTAGCCGGGGAGGAGACGTGTTCAGAGGAATCTGATACAGCTCGCGGGGTCAGGCTAAAGAGTGCGGTCTATTTTTGAATGCAAAAAGAACATAACGCCACTGAAATTCATTCTCAATAAGTCAGTCAGCTTTAATGTGTTTTTCTTGCACCCCTCTACATATTTCTCTGTACTCAACTACACCCAGGACAGCTAAAAGAAGAAGACCTTCCCTGGGTGGGATCACGACACTCTGCAGTCTAGGCGAGCGCTCTACCAACTGAGCTACCAGGGCAACTCAGCTGGTAGGGGTTCGAGTCTACAACACAATACAACACAACAAAAGACAAAGGCAAACCTCAAACCACTGTGCTATGGTACATACATGTATATATATATATATATACACACATACAGTACATAACCCACCACATGTTGTATGTATATACAGTACGTAAACCACCAGCAACAACCACAAAAGAGAACACTTCTCATAGAAAAAGAGCTGTACATATATACCAGGCCAGTAGCAACTGATGTCGAGCAAGGTGAGCCAACTGGTTGGCCGTGTCTTCATACAGCCAGGACTGCTGACTCAGCAGTTCACTCATCTCCTACAGCAAAGTCACAAGAAAAGGAGCACTTGCAATGATGTGATCACCTCTACCATAGCAGAGCCTCCAACTTCACAGATATCGTCAGATTCATCATGCTCATGAAATTCGAATTCCACGGTAAGACACACAACCAACACACACATTACCCCCACTTCTTTCAAGGGAATGGTTTAGGGAAACTCGGTAAAAATTTGCAGGAGAAAGTTTTACTTAGAGAGTGGACACACTGACCATTTATAAACCTCCGTGAAATTCACGAAATTTGCAGCATACAAGATTTTTACATGACGTAGTGTACTTTTGGGGGAATGAGGGAGACTTACTGAGCATTTCTGGACACTGTCAGAGCTGCCTGCCCACTTCACGAGAGCTAACAGTCTCACCAGCTGCAGCCGAGTCTGTCTCGCAAAACCTACTATCCCAATTTTCCTGTAAAAATTATGAAACAGTTCTCATTGCTGCTTATCATTCTTCTTGTGAGTGATTGCTCACCGGTCCACGTCCGACTTCCGAGGCAACCTACCAATAAAAGGGGAAAAAGCCAGAGTGCATGTTTACAGCAGCAAAATATTTGACTCACAGTTCGGCTAGCACAGTCAGTTCGTGGTAGGATTTCTGCAGCAGGGAGTCCAGAAGGGCGGCCAGGGGAATATTTCCCGCCATCCTCGCGGATCTCCACCGCTAGCGAGAAAGAGACGACACAACAGTGAACAGAAGCCCAAAAACTCAAATCACAAAGTTCCAATTGGAGAGCACCCAAGTGGTAGCTCACGTGCGCGAAATTGAAAAAGAATGCGGAAATGAGCGGAGTCCGTATACGGCCGTTGCATGCTCTTGCGCTAGCTCGCTGGACTGTAGCTTCATGCTTGGCGAGCCATCTTGTTGTTGCATAGCCTCCGGACCACAGCATTGCTAGCTAGCAGCACGAGCCTACCGACAAGTGGACGAAGCCAACTCGAGAGACGCAGCACGACAGAGAGAGAGGAGGAGGCACGCTGACGAGGTATAGCTATGGCGGCGGAACAGAGAAGAGTGGTATGCTACGACTACGCGGCCAAGGACAGCGAAGAGCTGGACATCGTCAAACACGAGACGCTCACGGTGCTCGACTCTTCGGGCCTGTGGTGGAAAGTGGTCAACGACAAAGGACAGAGCGGGCTCATACCGTCCAACTATCTGTACCCGCCAGGAAAGGGACCCGCCCCTACCCCGGCTCCCAGTTCTGGACGAACTGACCTGAAAGCGGACGAGCCAGCGCACATGTACCACCAGCCTGACCTTATGATGAACAGAGCAAACGGTCCTTCCCTCAACATCACAGCCAAAGCAAAGTACCGTTACCAGGGGAGCAGGGAAGACGAGTTGAGTCTGGAGAAAGGTGACGAAGTGATCGTGATGGAAAAGGAGGCAGACGGTTGGTGGAAAGGACGCTGTGGTGCAAAAATCGGGTGGTTCCCCTACAATTATGTCGAGGAAGTGGGCGTGGCAGAGGTGGAACCAGAGAAAGCTCTGCCCCCTCAACGAGAGAAGAAATTTGTCTGCGGTGTCATTGCACTGTACTCGTTCAACTCGGGGAACCCTGAGGAGCTAACGTTTCAAAAAGGAGACCTCCTAGACATCGTAGACCAACCGGAGGACGACCCTGATTGGTGGGAGGCTCGGAAGGCCAACGGACAGACCGGGCTCATACCAAGAAACTACGTCGAAATTGTCCACGATGCCGAACCAGTGTTTGGTTCGGGTGGAGGGGGTAGTGGTGCCGGACAACATAAATCAGCGCAGGCTTCGCTGCCTTTTAGCTCACACCCTCCGCCACCGTTTGCACACGAGGTGTGGTACCACGGTCGAGTCGCACGGAGGGAGGCCGAGACGCTGCTGAATCAGAGAGCCGCCCATGGGCAGTTCATTGTTAGGAGTAGTGAAACAAAGGTGAGAAAGAGAAGCGGGAAGAGAGAGAGCGTGGGGAGGGGAGGGAATGAAGGACAGAAGGGAAAGAGGGAGAGGAGAGAGGGAGAAAAAGATGGGAGTAATAGAACCTGGTTTTGTGTATGTGTGTGTGAAAATGGAGTTCTGTGCTAAGGTCACCAGTTGTTAGTCCACAGAAGGCAAGATTGCATGTCCATTGGACAGACTATTAGATTATGGTCGGCTCTGACTAAGCATGGTCATGGGACTCACAGCCGTCCAGAGGGGCACTTGGCCCATTCCCTCTCATGCATTCCTACCTCTCTGCCAATATCGCTCTCCCTGCCTCCTGCCAAACTTATCTTGGCAGTCCCCAGCTGCGTTCTTTACACTTATTTTCCTGTTTGATATTCCCCTCTCCTGCTTGACTCTTATGCCTGTATATAATGACATTCCCTTCTCCATATTTCATCTTTCCTCCTCTCTCCCTCCATGTTTCCCTCTTCCCTTGGCTCTTTGTATATACGCTCTCTCCCTCTCTTTCTTCCCCTTTCTCCTCTCCCTCCCTTCTTAAACCTCCCCTCTTTCCCCTGATCCACTCAGCCCGGTGATTATTCTATATCCATGAAGGCCCCGGACCGAATCAAGCATTTCAACGTCAAGAATCTCCCAGACGGCAGACTAGGCATCGGACAGCGCAAGTTTGACTCTATGGATGAGCTAATACAGCACTACCGACGAGCCCCCATCTATACCACTACAACCGAGGGAAAGATGTACCTCTCAGAAGGACTCGCTCGAACCGTAGCTCGCTGATATGCAGACCAGGACTGTTGATATGTTCCCGTTTGCTTCCTCCACATTTTGTCCCCCCAATGTAAACCCACTAAAACGCCCTTGTGACACGGCTGGTGCTAATATTGTTGTTGTATGCAAGTGGCTCAACATGGTGTTAACTGTGTATGCATTGTGTGTGTGTGTGTTGTGTTGTGTTGTGTACCTGTGTGTAGCTTAACCTTGTTTATTTTCATGGTTTCAACAATTGACAGTTTATACATGCAGACGACACAGTACGGCAGAGTGTACATTACTTTAGGTGATTGTGTCTGTGGTTCTATTTGGAGCCCACCCTGGTGTTGTAGTGACAACAACCGACAGTTTGTGTTGAATAATGTTGCGTAACCATATCTCTTGGAAGCAGCTCCTCTCGGGCCTTTACATGTGGGAGGAGAGGAAAAGATAACACGCATAATATATACATGGTATATAGCACATGTAGGGGGTGTGCAGGTGCAGTGTGTGCACCTGGTATGATAAATAGACACAAGAATGCCATAATTGGTGTGTAATATGGACAATGTACATTTACTACACACAAACACCTGCAATGTCCACACCAGTATGTACATATGGCACCTTGAGTCATAGGCGCTACCAATTCAGAGAGGACCCCCTCTAATCTGGACACCAATGGGACAAAAGTTTGTAATGAATGTGTCCATATTGATCAGAGGGGGAGGTAAAAAGGTTACGAGAACTAGTACGTACAGAAAGGGCTATTAGTGAGGTGTCCTCATTTTAGGGTTTTCCCCTTCTAGACATGTATTTACTGCACTGTCATTTCCAGTCAAGGTAATCATACACGTAAGGCAACTTGCAACGCAAGTTGGAAGGTCTTCCAATCGCAGCAATGTGTTGTGAAAGACAGACAAGGAGCAAGGCAACCTTGTTGTTTGCCAGAAGTTGCCTAAATGTAGCATAAAATTACCTATGAACAAGTCTCTGGCCCTCGAGCACGTAGAAAACCTGCACTTGGCTCTGCAGGGGGGAAGGTTGTGTTACAGTATTTTGTTGAATGTGAAAGTATCCCGTACCTGGTGCTTGCTTTGCTGGGTGCCCTGTTGGCAATAGATAAAGAAGTATACGGAAGCCGTTGTTGTTGGCACCGGTTTACAGCGAGTGGGCTCGCTCCACTGCACTCTATAGCAGTGGAGCTCATCCACTCCTCTTTCTCTTCTTCCCAGCATTACTCCACCTGGTGTGGTCCCCAGGTAGTCAATACAGTGCTTCCAACTCTCACTGAGCTTCCATTCCTGCAAAATCAATGGCCATAATAGACCTACAGAACCATGCTTCTACGGCATTTGTATCGGTGCGTTTGCACGGGTAGTTTATTATTCCACGTCTCACTCAATTAGCTAGGCCATAGATTTGTCACCTGCACAGTCTTTTCTACAGCTCTTTGGCCGCCTTCGACAGTAAACTCTCCACTGCTGGGCCATGATACGTTTGATGTACTGCTCTTATTCTCTGTCAGCTCCTCCACGCTCTGGGATATGGCTAGTTGAACCAGCTCGGCAGCCACGCTACAAACCTCATCGGCCGCCATCTTGTTTATTGGTTGCCAGGGCGAAAAGGTTTTGCGCATGCGTAGTAATGGCAAGCGTGGTGAAATATTGGTGGGGGGGGCCGGGGGGGAAGCAGTGATGGCGGAAGAGTGACGTTGTGCATTGTGTGCATATGGGAAGTTGCGGGGGAGGGTGTATTGTGAGGGGGTATATCGCCACCTGCACCGCACCGCGAGATCGCACTTCGCTGCTCCCGTCACGGTTCACGATTCCAGCGGGGACCCTCTGCTGCGTCTCTAGCGAACTTGGATCAGCTCCTCACTAGTTCCACAAGCGCCCCCTTCACTTCTCCCCCTTCCTCCGTGATGAACGGGGACGGGAGCGCCGGCATTCGTGCCATGTACCAGCCGGCGAACTTCGCCGGTAAGGCTCGCAGGACTACGTGAGAGTTGTTAGTGATACAGTTTCCCACTCTTTCCTACAGCTGCAGTTAGCGGTATTTCCACCGCCGGTTCTCCCCTCGGACTGCAGAGGAGCGCCTCCTCTGAGCGGCAACAAATCAACTTCAGTGAGTAGCTACAACTACGTAAAACGCCCTCTGTGTCCGCGTAACCACACCGACAACGTGACTATATTCTGCCTCTCTACAGGCAATATCTCTACAGTGAAGGTTGAGCTTCCCTCACCCAGCCCAACTACCTCCCACACAGGAACACCCTCCCCTCCCACTTCCCTCTCCGCCACGGCCCCCCAGGCTTCCAGTACCTCGACCTCGTCGTCCGCAGCTCTCCCTCAGTCCCTCTCCCCCTCCTCGCTCCTGACCCAGATGAGCTCCCTGGGACCCACCGACCGGTGTACACCCTCACAGGCACAGGCAATGGGTCAACAGGTGCTGGCTGTCATTGCTCTTCACGAAAAGAACACCCTTCAGCTTCCTCGTGAGCCCTCTCTTCTTCTCTTCTCTTTGCCTCCTCTTCTTCTTAACCCCCTCCTTTCCTTCCTATCTTCCCTCTTTGTTTCTTCCTCCCTTTCCTCTTTCTCACTCTCACCTCTCCCCATTTACTCTCTCCCTTCCCACTCGGCCCTGTGTGAGAAATGAAACCACAGTGGCTTAGCTGATAGTGTGCTGAGCGTAGTAGTACATGTGTTGTACACTAGGCCTGAGTGAGTAGCTAGTGTGTGTGTGTGTGTAGTGTTGTGTTGTGTGGCCTTGAAAGGCACTGTGTGTAGGAGGAGGTGTAGTGGTGTGTAGTGTGTGTGTGGCAACACATGTTTCCATTATTGGAAAGTTGGGTGTTTGGATAGTCACAATTTTCCTCCCACTCTCCCCTCCCCCACACCCTCCCTTGTGAGCTTTCTCAACTCCCCAGCCTCCCCCTCTCCCCTCCCCCGTTGCCTTATTATTCATCCCCATTCTCCCCCACTCTCTACATACATTCGCAACACACACATCTTTTAACCCGCTAATTGGCACATGTGTGTACACACGCGACATCTCCCACTCTCTGCAGTTGAACTACAGAACAGTTTTGACGTGTTCCACCGCTGTCTGGCTGTCGTCTTCGGGACCTTCTTTCTTAATCTCTACTCGAAGGCCAACGCCCCGTGCCTGTTGTGCCACGGCTGCAAATCTCTCTACCCCCCGGGCCAGTTTATTCACCACAACTGCCCGGCCCTCTCGACCACAATCGTACCGTGCCGGTCTCGCATGTGGCGGCGTTGCCTCGTCCCCTTGGTCTCGCCCGGCGTGGACAAACTGCAGCAAAAACAACGCTGGAAATACGTTTTGGAGAAGTTTTCTCACAACAACCACCGGCGGCAGAATCCCATACCGGCAAACGCCGAAGCTCAGATTCTGGAGATCCCGGAGTGCAAGAGAGGAAGATTTGTGGCCACTCCAGCAACCGAGCAACAGAGACTGAGGGAGAACGGGGGAGGTGGGATGGGGGAGGAGGGGGAGGGGGAGGATAAGGAGGAGGAGGAGATGGAGAAGGGTTCTTCGGCAACAGGGATTCAGAGCTTCATGAAGAACCATTCGAACTCTGCACTTTTGGACGTCGAACCACCGGTAAGATGATGCCAATGTTGTTATAGGGTATGATGTCATGGTGATGTAATTGTCTAGGACTGCGAGGAAGAGGACTGTACATTGGAGAGTCTGGCGACCATGGACTCAACTATCCCCTGTCCATCCTCCCACCCCTCCCCATCTCCTCCTCCCCGCTCTCACACTCACTCCTTGCACAATGCTCAAAACTCACGCCCTGCTTCGTCAGCTCTCGGTGAGATATTATTATACCACACTGATGGCTTCCTCTAGTATTTCAGTAATTACGCTTGTGTGAGTGATCCTAATTCACTGTCATTCATAGGCTCGATACACCTTATTGCAACTGTTCCTTATTAACTGTACACAGCAATAAAGAGGGGTCTGGGGCATATAATCCCCAGTAAAATGTTTGTATATATACATTGTGTGCTCTGAAAGTTGGGTGATCTAGTGGCGGTGTCCCTGCATTACTTCAGGTCTGGCAGAGCAACTGGTGCTAGAGGTGAAGAGACTGCAGCAAGAACTTAGTCTCACCAGAACCAAACTCACCACTGCCGAAGAGCTCATTCACAAAATGCCGTCCGAAGGTTTGTCCCTCTTTCTCTTGTTGCTTCTCTCTCCCTTTTTCTCTTTCATTTCCCTGTGTGTGTATTGATAGATTGTGTATTTATACTCGTTAACCCGGGGTGTGCATGCACAGCGTTACAACCAGTACTTGGTTCGTAAGTGTGTCTGTCTGTATCCATGTTTTCTGCCACCACGCACACCGAGATAGCAATAGAGCGACGCCAAAAGGTTCGGTGCTACACTGGCTTGATTAAACGTTTCGTAAAAGTACTGCGTTTGAGAGTTACTGCATGAAAACCACGTGAAATTAGCACAGGCTTACCTCGACCAGATACGCTTGATTTGTGACTCCTTGGAGGCACAGAAGTCGCAACGAAGGGCGTGTATCGACTCCTGCATGCTATCTACTACTGTAGCTAGCCCGTGTCACACTCTCCGTGAGCTTGTTCTACACGGGTAAACTCGTACTCATAGCCCAGCCCATCATTTAGCAGTACCACGCATGTGTGTATACTTATGTATAGTGCGCAGAGGGTTTGCACTTTTTTGTGCTTTTCATTCTGTTTCTCTTCCTTTCATTTCCTTGTGTGACAACAGGCCATCTGTTTCTCTCCCATATCTTTTATTTCCCTGTGTGTGTGGCGATGGGTCACCCTATAGGCTCTGCCCACACGTGTTGCTATCAGTAGGATGGGCCCACACCACACACACGCATGCTACACACAGTACATAGCCTATCATCTGCTGATCATTATTCAGTTTCCACATTCTCTCTTTATTCTGGTATGCTGTCAATTAACAACCCCCCACACACACACTCTCTCACTTTCTCCTTCTTTCCTCCCTCCCCCTCTTTCTCCTCCCCTTCATCTTCTCTCCGTCTCTTATCTCTTTTGCCTCTTCCCCCTCAGCCCTGTCAACTTCCCTCCATGTAAAAAAGTTTCCACCCTTCTTCCTTCACCTCTCCTCCTACTCCCTCACTCTCCTCTTCCTCCCTCACTCTCCCCTTCTCTCTTCCTCCCTCACTTCTCCCCTTCCCTCTTCCTCCCTCACTCTCCCCTTCCCTCTTCCTCCCTCACTCTCCCCTTTCCTCTTCCTCCCTCACTCTCCCCTTTCCTCTTCCTCCCTCACTTCCCCCTACCAGCATGTATGAGGGAGCAGTTGGCCCAGGCTCTGGCAGTACAACAGCAGCTATCACTGGAGAAGGAGCAAGCTCAGGAGCAGGCTCGGTTGGCCAGAGAGAGGGCCGATCATCTGCAACATCAGGTCAATCGACTCAGAATCGCACACGGTGAGTGGTATATATGTACTACAAACACACATTGGGCATGGAAATCAACGTGTTTAGGCTTATCTATGCACGTACTGCTATAGTTACATACATTCATGCTTATTTCACACATCCACGCACAGCACTGGGAGAGTTCCGCGCATTAATTTTTTGTACCTCAAAAATAATACCACATTGTGCTTCTGAGATCTCTAATATTCAGCTGTAGCAGGCTAAGCTTGGCATTTTGGGAGCGGTAGCAGACAGGAGACTTGTAGCTAGCTAGTAGTGTACGCGAGCGTATAGTTTTATTTGTCTATGCTTCGTAGCCTTTTTGCACACATTCTTAAACCAAATATTCACATCCTAATCCAAGCTATTGCACTTGTAGTAACAATTATTTCAACCACACATTCGCAAAACTGTGAGATTGCTTTTCAGTGATGCGCTAAAGTTTTGCCATAAAGGTGGTAGATTATGTAATGGTCGATGATGTGTATACCATCTTTCCATGTGCAGGTGAAATGGAGAAATTTTTCTCAGGGCTCTCATGATGAACAGTGTCACCCCACCACACCACACCACACTGTACCTGTACAATGCAGCAAGTCACCATTTACCATAATATGGACACAGTCAAGAATCACCCACCCTCCATTGTAATGTTAAACTAAATCAGTCATAAGAATCTTGGTGAAGTTAATGATAGAAGTGATCCGTGTGAGTGAGTTATTACTTATAGTCACAAATACAGATTTTCACTCGTGTCTATAGTGAAATTGAAACTAGCTAGAGCTGTCCGTGTTGGATGGACTCGAGCAAAAAGTGGCGATTATATCTTCCACATCTGAATCATCCCCCACCCCTCTTCCTTCTCCCCCTCTTCCCCTCCTTCCTCTCCCCCACCTCTTCCACTGCCACCGTTCCTCCCTCATCGCCTAACCCGTCTCCTCCTCCCTCCTTCCTCCCACCTCTCTCGCCCTCTGCTGTGGACAAAACTTCACCACCTCCTAGTTCCTTTGGTGCTTCAAAAGCCTTATCTTCTTCGAAGCTTACCCTCAACTCTCCTGCCCTTTTCTCTCCGTCATTTCCACCACGACCCTCTTTACGCACATCTCTACTCTCCTTGCCCTGACCACTTCCCAACACAGCATCCTCTTCTTCCTTGCCTTCTTCCCTCTTTTCCTTCTCGTCCCTCCCCTCACCACTACAAACAGTTCGACGGCTTTTTCTTCCACCGTCCGCTCTCTCCCCCTCTTTTCTCCTCTCTCCCTCCTCCGTCGCCCCTCGCTCCCTACAAGGTCTTCAGTGCTAGCAGGCACAACATCGGCCTCTTCTTCTGCACATCTCGACTCTCCTTCACGTCTTCTTTTCCTGCTATCATGTTGTGTCAATGTCTCTCCCAGTTCTTGCAGGGGTCCATTCACTGCTGTATAATTAACCCCTGGAGCACTAGGGGGAACAGTGGGTAGCGTAGAAGGTTGTACATCCATCAGATTGACAGATAGTTGATTGGGGGGAATACCCTCTGAAATTGGCCCGGAACGAGACCCCCACGGGGGGCCCACGGGGTGCAGGAGCAAGCTACACAGAGCCAGCCCCTGTCTACTCTCCTCACACACCTGTGGAAAAACAGTCAGCACTTGCTCCACACTATAGCTAAGAATATAGGCATGTGAAATTTGGAACTACAGTGGAACCTCCAAACAAGGGACACTATGGGACCAAAAATTTTGCCCCTTGCAGAGGTTGTCCCTATCTCGGAGGTCAAATAATACAAGGTTGAAACTTCTAGAGAGGTCGTCCCTGTCTTGGAGGTTCCACTGTACACATGTAGGCACATGAAATTTCAACCTGTTGTGCTTTGATGAACTCGGCACGGGTAACGTAAAGAATTAAGCTCTCACAGAGAGTAAGCCACAGGAATCCTAGACCAATTTCATAGCCATTACTGACTTTACCTGCTCACTTCCAAATGCACAGTGGCGGTGAGTTTGTCGTGCAATAGAAGGTACGACGCACTAAAAAACCAAACTGTATAACCAATGTGATAACATGCGCTTGGAAAGTGTGTAGGAAATTCTTTTAACATGTTGATATAAAGGAAAAACTCGCTGGTTGGTTACATTATGCTTTGGTACTGTATACGAAATTTTACGTATTCTCGAGGAGGGATAGAAGCGCTGAAGACGGGCGCCGCCGCGCAGCAACGGCGCCCATAAGCCCTGCCCACACACTTGTCACGGCAGACCATAGGCCTGCCGGAGAGGACGAGAAGAAAAGAGAGCAAGAAAAAAAACCGCTAGCTCTTCACTGACGCTTGGCTCGATTCAGGTTACCACAAAAGTTGTGGTATAGTTTCAAATCACACTTTGCACTACAAGTTGGTAATCAAAAATGGGCTGGAATACTCACCTCACTGCTGGAGTGTCGAGTAAGATTTTGGAGTACTCTCACTGCTCTGGGAAGTGATGTAGAGCTGGGGTACTCCAAACACCGTCGGAGTAATCTTACTCCACCCAGGGCCATGTTCGAAGGTAAAGACGAAGACTGTGACAGTGTCTCAAATACCACGTCACATACTTCCTGCAATATACCATCGTACAAGTGTGGATTACTTTAGCTTTACCACCACAACTAACCACCAAGTAAAATGAAAAGCACTGAAGTGCAAACCCTCGGCGCACTGTGACGCGCACGCGTAAGTAAACGCATGCGCCGTACCACTAATTGATGGGCTGGGTTTAGTTTTAGCTGTTACTCGTGGTCACTTGCCAGCTCGCGCAGAGTCTGACGCTGGCTAACTACACTACTAGATAGCATGCGAGAGGCGATACACGCCCTGTGTTGCATCTTCTGGTGCCTCCGAAGTACGCGGATCGATCCGTTGTGTATTTGCATATTGGCTTTTTCGCGCTCTAGCTTTGCAACGGAGCATTTTCAGAGAAAACCGCCTTTATTTTCTGACCTTCGTCGCCCGTTGGGTAGATGGTATCGTTTCTGGGACGAACAGACGTTCGAGGAGTGAGTTGTAGACAAACAGACAAACAGACAGACAGACCCAATGAAAATCACTAAAGTGCAAACCCTCGGCGAACTGGGGATGGGCGGTACCGCTAATTCATGGGCTGGGCTGCTATTAGTATGCGTTTACTCGTGGTCTCCCGCTAGCAGCTCGCAGAGAGTCTGACACGGGCTAGCTACAGTAGTAGTTAGTATGCGAGAGTCGATACACGCCCTTCGTTGTGACTTCTTGTGCCTTCAAGATACACAGAGCAAGCGGACCCGGTCGAGGTTAAAGCCTGTTGAAAATATAAGCGCATGCGCGTTTTCCGCAGCGATTAAAAATGGCCGACTACACATTAGCCGTACAATGGTGGAAGCGCTCTAGCTCTGCAACGGAGCATTTTCAGAGAAAACCCCACATATTTTCTGACCTTCGTCGCCCGTTGGGTAGATGGTATCGTTTCTGGGACGAACAGACATTCGCGAGGTGAGATTGAGAGTAACACACAGACAGACAAACCCAACTACTGTAACCCTCGCTGCGCATGCGCGCCGAGGGTAATGAGACAAAGCAAGTGGACACTAGGACAAATGCGAATGATTTTGCAAGCACATGATTGAAAGAAGAGGAAAAACTAACTACCCTTAATACTTGAAAACCCTCGGCGAACTGTGCATGCGCAGTACCGCTAATTGACGGGCCGGGCTATTAGTATGCGTTTACTCGTGGTCTCCATGCTAGTTGGTCGCGGAGAGTCTGACGCGGGCAGCTACACTATAAGATAGCATGCCGATGGGGGAGGGCTTTCAGTGAACGAATGAATGGGTGTCAACGATTTTGCATTTCTTGTAGGAACAGTAGAGTAAGAAGAGACAAACTAAATATCCTAAATGCTTTGACTACGGTTGTAGTATGGAATTGTAACATCTTTTATCTCGCTGCACCTATTCCTATCTTGCCCAAATTTTACTGTCCCCTGAATGAGGGTGTCAACGATTTTGCATTTCTTGTAGGAACAGTAGAGTAGGAACAGACAAACTAAATCTCCTAAATGCTTTTACTATAGTTAGGGTATGGAATTGTAACATCTTTTATCTCGCTGCACTTATTTCCATCTTGACCAAATTTCGCTGTCCCCCCAAATGGGGGTGTTAACGATTTTGCATTTCTTGTAGGAACAGTTGAGTAGGAAGAGACAAACTAAATATCCTAAATACTTTAACTACAGTTGTAGTATGGAATTGTAACATCTTTTATCTCGCTGCACCTATTCCTATCTTGCCCAAATTTTACTGTCCCCTGAATGAGGGTGTCAACGATTTTGCATTTCTTGTAGGAACAGTTGAGTAGGAAGAGACAAACTAAATATCCTAAATACTTTAACTACAGTTGTAGTATGGAATTGTAACATCTTTTATCTCGCTGCACCTATTCCTATCTTGCCCAAATTTTACTGTCCCCTGAATGAGGGTGTCAACGATTTTGCATTTCTTGTAGGAACAGTTGAGTAGGAAGAGACAAACTAAACATCCTAAATGCTTTGACTACAGTTGGGGTATGGAATTGTAACATCTTTTATCTCGCTGCACTTATTCCCATCTTTTCGCTCTCCCCCCAAATGAGAATGTCAACGATTTTGCCATTTTTGAGACATACCAACTATCCTGAATTGAGTTATCCATATCCCACTTTACCAGTCCTACACAGCATACACAGTTCTGTTTTTTCATCTATTTAGAGTTACATACGAACATTGTGGTGTTCGTGCAAGAGTGCCATATCATAAGATCATTTGCATTCTGACAACCATATATAAGTATTCACTTTACAAAAATTCTGGAAAAATTGTACAAACCAAAATAGTAAGCAAAGTAAGCCCACCACGCATTTGCTAAATGCAAACCTGTTTTAGATGAGGAGGGAGGAAGATGGGGCAGTGGGCCATCACGACACTCAGGCTGTTCAAACCTAACTCCATCTGACCTGTACAATATCATTCAGAGGGAGGGCGAAAAGAGGAAAGAGAGAGAGAGAAAGACAGAAGACAACCCTGTACAAAACTAGAGCTCTAGAGAGAACTCCACGCGTGGTATTGCATGCACATACGTTGAGTGGCAAAATGACCCAATGTTTGCAGCTGGATTTCTAGCCTTTCTGGCCCACTAGTGCCAAGCACAGTTTTCCCCCTGCGTATGATAGTTTAGGCCTCTTTCAAACCTTTACTCGGGCACCTACTGCATATCTTGAGATCTGGCGATTTTAGTGCAGACAGAAAACATAACCCTTTACGTACCTATGGCTGGTATTCTATGAACTATAATTTCATGCACTTGGGGGTAACAAGCACCGCATAAATGCTGGATAAATATGCAGTGCATCCTGTAAGTTGCGAGTTCAAGTACTTAACTGACAAAAAATTCCCCATCTATATACGGTATCTTACTCTACCTTGATCTCCAGAGCGACAACACTTGAGCAACCACTGAACCACGGAACCCACAAACCAGTCCCCTTTCCCACCCTCCCCCCTCACCCTCACCCAGGCACACACTGCACCGCTCACACACCTCCTCCAGACCACACACCCCTCGTTACTCATCTGACGCAGGAGGCCAGAGTCAATGGCAGTGGAAAACGGGAGAAGGTGAGAATGTGAGGATGTGATGAGTGAAGTGAGAAGTGTGAGGAGTGACGAGTGAACCAAGGGAAGAAGGGCCAGTAGGAGGGTGGAATCAGTTGCCACGGTGACAACCCTTTTGCTACCTATACGCAGTCCGAATGTGACCACACCCACAAGTGTGCCGAGTGGGAGTGAGAGTGCAGAGGGGGGTGGGGAGCAGAGGAGATGGGACAACAGCCGACAGTGTGATGTAATCATTCCCAGGAGTTTGGTAGAGCGACTCGGCTCCGATGGAGGGAGGTCAAGGTTCAAATCTTCGGGGAGGGGTGTGGTCTGTGAGAGTGTGAGGGAGAAATGGAGAAGGGCGGAGGAGAGGGACGAGAGAGAGGAGGAGAGGATGAGCGTCCAGTGGGCGGGGTTTTGGTGGGTGACAACCAGTAGTCGGGCACTCTCACGACTCAGACAGAGGTCAGAGTTCATCAGACCCTCTTTCCCCATTGTAACACTGCAGACTGTAGATAAATCAATACACCAGTGTTTACTAGACTGCTGATGGTCATGCAATTTGCATAAGTACGTATTAAGTGCTGGAACAGATAGATTTCTTCACCTGTCACCTAATCTGCACATATCGCTCCCAATCTAGACTATATAAAAGGAATGGTGTGCCTAGTCAGAAAGCGAGAAAGATCACTAAGTACAGTAGTACTTAGTATATAGGGATGATGCCCATACATTTGAGATTTGCACGTTTTATTCCCCATTCCGATCCTCCCAGTTCTCCAAGAGGAGAGAGAGGGGAACTAACCCTGTGGGTCTTGCAGGCCATTGGGTAGCAGTGGAAGACTGTGGAGACAGCAGGTAGCACGGCAGACTGCAGACAGGGAGAAGCCTCCCTGAACCGGAGGAGGGAGGAGAGGAGGGGAGGGAGATGGACTGTGCTGAAGTCTCTCAGACCAGTGGCGTGAGCTGCAGTGACTAGTGAGGACACGCAGCCACACACCTCCGCCAGGACGACTGCACTATTTGATGTCTGAGAAGGAGAGGGCATAGAGAGTACATCAATTGGATCCACTGGGCAATTGACAAGCCTAGCCTCATGAACCCAGACAATAATTTTACCTTCGTGGATGCATGCGCACGTGGAAAGTGGGCACGGGGGAAATATGGCTAGTTCACAAGTGGATTATTAGAATTATTGTATGCAGATGGATCACCACAAAAACTGAATTATCTCAAAACTCTGACACTATAATATATACAGGGCAAATGCTTATAGTCCACACACACACACTCACGCACACACCGCAGGGAGAGGGAAACAGCTACAAGAAATAAAAGGTGTTTTTATAAGCGTGAAATGCTCTAGCATTGACAGCTGCTACCTTCACAAGAGTTTAATTATCCACATATGTGTCAGTCATAAAGAAAGGCAGACTGAAGGAAATCAAGAGGGAGTGTATCATCAACTAATACAAACCTTTAGAGCAGAGATAAGTGTGGCTCGCCACTGACCACACTTCTGGAGGAGCTGAGTCAGCGAAGAGGGCCCCACCACCTCCCTCATCACCCTCACTGCCCACACCCTCACCTCATCACCCTCCACCATGCTCCCTGCACACAACTCCCCCACCTGAACACAAACAAATACGACAGTAGCTAGCTACGATTTCTTCAGCGGTACTCACGGAGTCAAGTTTGCCCCATGCTTGGGCGGAAATAGAAGCCAGCTGGGGATCTAGGGAAGCTAAAAGCTTCACGCTATCCTCCACTGCAACTGACGACATAGCGCTCGGATGATCTGCACACGCACACCCAAGAGCCCACGTGTGTGAAGGTCAAAGGTTATGAGTGGGAACTCTCGTGCGAGTTGTGCGAGGGAGAGCAAGAAAGCCAGGATGATTCCCCTGTCGGCTGGCGGTGTGTTCAGGCAATACGGAGACGGCAGATTCTGTAGGCCATCCACCAGAGACTGTGCTTCGTAGGCCGCTCACCCATCTCTCTCTTCATCGTTTCTCACAGACAAGACACCAGCACTAAAGGCGACACTAGTCGGAGTGAGCGCCTGTTCCATCCTCTACCGCGTGCTAGCTGTCAGAACAAACTCTCCCAGGGTATAAAACCCCATTCTCTTTAGCAGAGAGCCTCACTGCATGTAGTTTGTCCATTTTTCAGTTGTTGCTATGGTCAGTGAGATTGTGGGCGTGTCCGAACGCTGGTGTTTGGCTAGTGGCTGTGCTAATCCTCATTTTCTGCCGGCCCCTGGAGAGACAGGTCGGAGCCGGCAAGTTTACTGTGAGTTAGTTATACTTGCCATGTGTCACGTGACTGGTTTGATTAGTCACGTGACTTCCTGTTTGCAGCGTCACTTGTTCTCGTCAGTAGTCGGTGGACTGGTTTTAGCTGCTTCAATATATGCTGGGTCTGTTTACAATGACAACTTTCTACCTATCCCTCCTGGAGCCATTTTGTAAGTCCAACAACTTCAAACGTTATGATGTAATGATAATGTCATTGGAATAGTCACGTGATGACAGGGAGTTTGGCGTGGCTGTACTACTGTACAGTGTTCCCCCTCCACACCCTCACACCTCTCCCGTTTCTCACAGTCACCAGTAACACCATCCTCTACCTCCTGACAGGAATTGTTAGTCCCCCTCCTCTCTCTTTTTTCTCCTTACGTTGTCTTAGTATGTGTTTAGCCTTCATCTCCCCACTTCTTCTTACACTGTATATAACCACCCTTTGGTGTGAGAGGGTTGCAGTACTTTGTCTATATGTCTGTCTGTTTGTTGTCTGTTCTTCTCTTTCTTTCCTCCGCTTCTCTTCTTCTTGTTTCCCTAACCTTTCACTTGTCCATTTCACTTGTCCGTTTTCAGTTCAGCTGTTCTTCACCTGAAGCAGGACTACTAACTTTCTGCGGACTGGTAAATAGTAGTCTTATTCACGGGGCATTCTTAACATCCCCTCACTGTACGGCCTCTAGAACACACTCCAAATGAGTGGGAGTGCAAAATCTCAGTAAACGTTGAAGGTGCTGTCTACATGCTAACAAATCTACAGAAAGCATGGTGCCAAAGGTTGGCTCCCGACTCTTAGTTCCCCCTGCCCTATCCTCTGCTTTTCAAATTACTATCCCACCCTTAGACCTCCCCCTCTTTTGCACAGTATGGCCTGCAAACGAAGCTAACTGTAACACTATCAAAAACTCCTTCTAATGCCCAACCCTATATCCTCCCTCACCCCCATTTCAAACCTCAATGAACTTGTCATCCCTCCCCTCCCTCTCCTCCCTCCCCTCTCTCTGTGAAGGTGGGAGCGACTATTCAACAGGGCCTGGGCTCGCTGCCCCTCCCCTCCCTCCCACCTCGTCTCGTGACGTGGATCTCACATCTACTGGACACCGAGGGAGCTCCGCCTGCCACACTATCTGGTGCCACACTGGCAGTACAGAGGGAGCAACGGATGGACCAGTTGGAGCAAATGATGGCCTCGTTTCAACACAACAGATTGAGGGTCGTCCTACAGCGAAACACCCAGCAGAGGCCGTCTCCCTCCCCTGAGCAGGTCTGTCCAGTCATGTGATGCCGTGTCTAGATCATGTGACCTCTAAGTTCTCTTCTGTAATGTTCCACAGGTGGCTCAGCTGGTGGTGATGGGATTTCCTCAGAATGAGGTTAGACAAGCTCTCGTCGCCACGGGCAACGACACAGCGGCAGCTGTTCAGCTACTAACGAGCAGGAACTTACCCCCACACTCATGACCTTCTGTTCAGCTAGAAACATTTTTGTCTCTTGTGTGTCTATTAGCTACATGTTATAGTTTGTATATATTCATCCAAAACCAGAGGAAGTGTGTACATCTCTGAGCTCATGAAAAACTCTTGACTTGTACACACTCTAGCCTTCATTTTTCTAAGATGTTGTGTACACACCTTGACACAAATATCATACAAGTGACAACTTAATATGTCACATTGCCCCATCATGCCATGCTGCGTTGCCGCATCGCGAGGATAGAATCCATTCGGGGGGACACGGCACGGAACGCCGCGATGGGGCAATGTGACACTTATTGTGAATCTAGCCTAAGTGTGGTTTGTAAAGGTCACAAGGTCACTTGGTACCTGGGTGAACTGCTGAGGAAGGTGACAGGTACCATTCCCCACTTCCCACCTTCTCCCTCCACCTCCCACCACTCCTCCCCTCCTCCCTCCCTCACCAACCTCTCACCTTCATGGATTGTTAGCTCTCCTTCCTCAGTCGCCTCGCGAGGAAACAGAGCGTAGACCACACCTCCATTGGCCACACCCATATCTCTGTGAGCCTCTAGTAATCAGAATGACAATGTGTCAACTCAAGAGATTCTTGTGCATACTATATACCAGAACACATTGCCCATTTGGTGCACATAAGGAGAATGTAACTTGGAAACATAAAAAATTCTTAATAATGTACATGCCTGTTGAGCCGCTAAGTGGATAGCAGACTCTGGTTATAGACTGCACAGTGTCGTAGGTTCAAATCTCACTAGGTGCAAATCTATTTGTGTCCTGGGTGGTGTGTGTTTTTGCTCTGTCTTCGCCTTGTTCATTGTTGTTGACGTGTGTATACAGGCCTTTTTATTGGAGACATCACCCACTTGTAATGGGAATGTTTCGAAACCTTGGAAAACTTTGTAAGCATCGCTAATTAAACTGTAGAACTTGATTTTAGGCTCGGATAGCTTTTGTAGATGGGGCTAAAGCCACAAGGTTCATATACAAAATGTAAGTATACAGTATCCCTAAAAAAGTGGGAGAGGAGATGGAGATGGAGAGAAATTGTGTGATGGGGTGCAAACTAACTCTGCAGGAGAGCGAGAGAGAGAATGGCGGCCTCCTGCCCGGCCCTGTCTCCCTCCTCTCTCTGGGCAGCCAGCTCCCTCTCCCCCAGCTCCATGGCCGTCTCTCCCTCCTCCCTCGTCTCCAGCCACAGACTAGCTCCGTGAGAAAGGAGGTAGTCCACTGCCTCTGCATTGCTGTAGGCTACTGCACAGTGGAGTGGTGTCCTGTAACATAATAGAATGACGTGCACGGAGCGTGTGAGTAGAGCGTCGGTAGATGTATTTAGAACACACCATGCAGTCCATTATGCGGTGTAGTCTTAGTGTGAGCACTAATTGGAACCAATATATAGTATTTTTAGTGCTGCATGTGACCTCAGCCAGAATTGCGCATTAGTGGAAATTAATGCACACTCTGCAGCGGATTAAAACAGTGTGCTTGTGACAAAATGGAAAGGCTGAAGGTCACATGACGCACTATAAAAAATAATAGGGGTGGCACTGGTCAAATCTCACGTGATCCACGTAAAAAAACTTTCAAAACACACCAGCAATAGTGTACAGGGCCATATAATTAGTAATTATGCTAATGGGAGGGTCTTACTAACTAACTCACCAGCCATCGTCGTCCTGAGCGTTGATGTCACATCCCATCTCCACCAGGTACTCCAGGGAAGCCTGGTGACCTGACACCACTGCATTGTGGAGACTTGTGGCACCCTTGTGGCTGGTCTGTCTGCAACCACCCAGCTGAGAGGAGATAATTTGGTGACTCTAATTAGAGCACATCATGGACGTGGCATAACTTAAAAACCAAAACATATTTTTCCATCTCAGGAATAATGGTTGCGTATTATGGACGGGTATTTCGGGTAGTCTTGTCGATGACAATCAAACATCGCTGGGCTGGTTATTTCTCATGTGAAAGTGAAATGGCTTAAATTAGCAAGAGTGTCGATGCCCGACGCACAAAACGGAAGCAGTTTTTCACTGCAGGAGGTTTTACCTTCTCAATGCAGTCTCTCAGAGTAGGCAGGTCTCCCTCGAGAGCTGCAGACAAGATGACGGCATCTGGCGAAAACCTAACTCTTTTTCTCTCCCTCCTCCCTCCCCCTGCACCGCCCACCGACTGCTCCACTGACGACATCACCTCGTTAAAGAAGTCTCCGCCCATCCCTAAAGAGTGGGCGTGGTCCCCGGTCTCCCCTTTGACCCCTTCCCCTTTCCCTAGTACTTGTTTGATCTCTGAAGGTTCCGACTCAGAACTGGTGATGAACCATTGAGTATCGGCCTCAGGTACTGTCAACAACTTCTTTCCCTCTTCTATCATGTCTGCCGGTAGAAAATTCGTCGTTGAGTCACCAGGGGGTGCGGTTTTGGGCGTGGCAGTTGTTGTTTGGGGTGTGGCTACTGAGAAATCTAGTTTTCTTATGGATCGTCTTCCGTCCCTCTCTCCCTCTCTCTGTTTCTTAAACTCCTCCCCCTCGGCCTCCAGTAGCTGGCGAGTGCGGGCCTCAAATGCTGCTCTCCTCTTGCGACTACCTCCGCTAATGCTGCCAGAGGGGGTGTGGCTTGGAGTGTCCGATGCCGGTGGGGAATCCCCTTTAGATCTAGGGGGTGTGGTCATTTCACTGGGATCACATGACTCGGCTGGTGGGGTCATATGACTCTCATGTGACTGGAGCTGTTTTCTCGTGATTATTGCTCTCTGCTTCTCCTCCAAAACTTTCTTCAGAGCCTTCAGCTTGGAGCTCTGAGCTGAATTTAGTCTGTTTCGAGTCTGGATATAACAATGTATATACACACAGGAAAACAACACAACAGGAAAGCACACTATTATATCATAAATCTTCAGCACAAGTGTAATGTCCTAGCTATGCAATCTACAGTGGAACCCCCTTACTCATTTCCTCTTTCTCCAAGAACAGTTTGTTGTTTCTCGCATGCAGTTTAACAACACCTGAAATAAGGACACCTCACGCTTTCTTTTGTCCTATTGGTGTTCATATTAGAGACCTCCATTGTGCATACCTAAACATACGGTGTGGTGTGTATGGCAATACCTCAAGTTCTCGTCTGAGGCGGATGGCCTCAGTATGCAGGTGAGCCACTCGAGCCCTGCTCTCTCTCTCCCTCTCCCTCCTCCTCATTCCCACCTCCTCCTCTGCCCTCCTCACACCCTCACTCAGCTCCCTGGACTCTGACCTCAGAGTCTGGAGCTCCACCGACAGTCCTACTGCCTCCATGTTCAGCTGACTGATCTCTGTTGCTACAGTAGATACATAGCACCGTATTAAAAATTAGCATTACTGAACACATGGCACACTAAAACTAAATCGTCTCTGGCTGAAATATGAGCTGTAGAGCTATTGTATGGTGGGAAAATGTTACAAGTTTCAACCTATGTATAATATATGTTCTCTGCTGATCATTCAACTTTTTTGGACTGATGAGCTACTGTGGTTATATTGTAATTGGTGAATGTGTTAGCAATTGTAGACACGATCCAGGGGGCCAAATGAAAAGTGTCTACTCAAAAGACCTGGCTAATCCAGGGGGCCAGATGCGAGGGGTCGACTCACATAGTCTGAGGTTCTGTTCCCTCAGATGTGCCAGTCTATCTCTGAGAGGTTCCAGAGGCCGCTCTCCAGTCAGAGACCTTCTCTGTCCCAGTCTCTTCAGCCACAGAGTTGAGACCTGGGCTGACGTGGACACACACAGTCGCCGCAGGTCTTGCTTCAGCCATGAAATCTTCTACGGTGGGACATAATGGGGTTGGATCATTGCAGGTTTTAGTTGGAGCAATAAAAAAGCTCTGAAATGCTATACTACACAAGTGTCTAGTTGCATGCATAGGCGAGAATACAATTGAAAATCTTTCATACTTCGATGCATCTGACACCTATAGATTCCATATAGCAGTTATATTCCCAGCATGACAATTCTATGATTACTCATTACTCTGGGGTTTCCCCCGCAAAAGATCCCTGAAAGCGTTTATGCACTGCACTCTCCACTTATTGTCAAGGTGTTCAGGATGATTGGTTGGTCTTTTGTTTTCCCCATGTGCATGCTAAAAGTACGAAACGTTTAGCCATTTTTCCGCAAAAGATCGTTGAAAGTTTTTTTCTACCTAGCTGTCAGCTCCTAATGAGCTAACCTTGTCCGTAAGTTGTCCACTGAGGTAGTCAACCTTTCTCCTTCTCTTCTTCAACGATGTCATTCTTCTCCCGGATGATGTCACTGGTTCGCACTTGAGCCACACCCTCCCCAGCCCGTCCCTGGACTTTTCCCAGGATCTGACAGTCTC